GCACGAGTTGTGTGCAGGCAACTGGGCTGTGGCGAGCCTGTTGCTGCTCTGAGAAATAGCTATTTTGGTGAAGGCTGGACAAGTCCTTGGATGACTAATGTGAGATGCACTGGCTCTGAAGACGTTTTGTGGTCTTGCCCTTATGAATATGCACACTATTCATGTGGTGTTTATGGAGATGCTAGCGTCATATGTGCAGGTATGTATTCTCTTTTATTGCATATCTGTAGCTTTTATACTCAGCAAATCAGCTTTCTGTTTGTTGTAAAATAGGCTAAGGATTGTATTTGAAAATGTTTTACTTTACACTTTTTCTTTCAGTATATATCACATTCTTAGCTAAAATATACTTTAAGTATGTAAACCATACTTTGAAGGAAAGTTCATTAGTTGTTTATGTAGATTATAGCAGTGAGTGATATCATGAACCATCTAAGGTGAATGTAGGTCAGGAGTTTTATCAGCTGGGTTAGTATGGTCCCAATCCGACATACCTTAAGGTCAAGGGATATGTCTCCATTAACTTTAGTGAGATTTAGTTTGAGTCACAGGAAGCAGAATTTTATTACCGGATGGTTATCCTAATGATTAATATAATTAAATTTTTGTAAACATGGTGTTTCATGCTTCTGCTCTGTTGATTTGAAAGATGACATCCTCAATGAAAGACCCATCCAATAGGAATGTCCCATATCTAAAATGTCTGATGTTTCTGCATCAACAGGTTCTGGACTAACAGCGCCTCCAGAAACAGGTAACTCAAGATTTATACTTTGCCTTGTAAATTACGGACTTGATCCTGCTAGATGCTGAGCAATCTGGCTCTAATTCAGCAAAGCACTTAAGCACAGGCTTAAATATATGCCCATAAGTAGTGCCATTGCAGCTGGTGAGACTACTTCAGCTTCAATGTTTTGCTGGACCAAAGCCAGACTGCTCAGTACCTGGCAGAATAGGTTCTATATGTTGAACTGCACATCTCCATAATCTGCACTTCAGTGTTTAAATGCACTTATATAATACTGCTATAAAAGAAGTTGTGCTGCTACTTTTAAGAATTTAAACAAAGGAGAGGTTAGATGCAATCTTTAACACTTTTTCCTTGCTGATAAAGCAACAATGTAATGTTTTGAAAGTATTGATCTTCATGGTAGGCACGGAAAAGTTTTATCTTCTTTGGTGTGGGTATTAAAACTGTAACAAGTATTCCTCAGGTAATACAGGAAAAAGCTGATGTACCCAAAACTATAGTTGTGGGCATGGAATTCACAAGAACTACACATCTAGATATAAGCCCCTGTTTAGTTGATACTAAATAATAAAAAAGGAAAAATTCCTTCCAGTAGATTCTGTGGCACCACTTTGAATATATTTATCTCTGTAAGAATGTTTAGTCCAGATCCTCATCCCATTTGAATTGGTGTCGCTGATCCAAGTCAATGTATCTACACCATTGTACACTAGCAGGGGATCTGTCTCTGCGAGGTTCCTTGACCATTTGAGACAGTCATCAAATTACCCAGTATTAAATAGATGAACAATTTAGAAGACACCTTTAAACTACAATAATTGTTCAAAGAAAAAGAAACAAACAAATACAAATTCCTTCACTATATACTGTTGATTAATCACAGTTAACTCATGTGATTAAATCAAAAAATTAATCGCAATAAAAAAATGAATAGTGATTAATCATAGTTTTAATAGCACTGTTAAACAATAGATTACCAATTAAAATGTATTAAATATTTTTGGATGTTTTTCTACATTTTCAAATATATTGACTTCAGTTACAACATAGAATACAAGGTGTACCATGCTCATTTTATATTATTAATTTTGATTACAAATATTTGCACTGTAAAAATGATAAACAAAAGAAACAGTATTTTTCAGTCCACCTCATCCAAGTACTGTAGTGCAATCTCTTTATCGTGAAAGTGCAATTTACAAATATTGATTATTTTTGTTAACATAACTGCACTCAAAGACAAAACAGTGTAAAACTTTAGAGCCTACACGTCCACTCAGTCCTATTTCTTGTTCAGCCAATCACTAAGACAAACAAGTTTGTTTACATTTACAGGAGATAATGTTGCCTGCTTCTTATTTACAATGTCACCTGAAAGTGACAATAGGCATTCACATGGCACTTTTGTAGCTGGCATTGCAAGGTATTTACATACATGATATGCTAAACATTCTTATGCCCCTTCATGCTTCATCCACCATTCCAGAGGACATGCTTCCATGCTGATGACGCTCGTTAAAAAAATTAATGGGTTAATTAAATTTGTGACTGAACTCCTTGGGGGAGAATTGTATGCCTCCTGCTCTGTTTTACCCCTATTCTGCCATATATTTCATGTTATAGCAATCTCGGATGATGACCCAGCATGTTGTTCATTTTAAGAACACTTTCACTGCAGATTTCACAAAACGCAAAGAAGGTACCAATGTGAGATTTTTAAGGATAGATATAGCACTCGACCCAAGGTTTAAGAATCTGCCTTCCAAAATCTGAGAGGGATGAGGTGTGGAACATGCTTTCAGAAGTCTTAAAAGAGCAACATTTTGATGCGGAATCTTCAGAACCTAAACCACCAAAAAAAAAAAAATCAATCTTCTCTGCTGGTGGCATTTGACTCAGATGATGAAAATGAACATGCATTGGTCCGCACTGTTTTGAATCATTATCAAGCAGAACCCATCATCAGCATGGACGCATATACTCTGGAATCAGGGCCGGCTCCAGGGTTTTTTCCACCCCAAGTGGCGGGGGGAAAAAAAAATGCGATTGCGATCGGCAGCACTCCAACGGCAGCTCCACTGCGTCGCTTTCTTATTCGGCGGCAATTTGGCGGCAGGTCCTTCCCGCCAAGAGGCATAGGGACCCTCTGCCGAATTGTCACTGAAGAGCCCGACGTGCCGACCCTTTCCCTTGGCCGCCCCAAACACCTGCTTGCTCAGCTGGTGCCTGGAGCTGGCCCTGTCTGGAATGTTGGTTGAAGTATGAAGGGACATATTTGTGAATCTTCAGTGTATCTGTCACGTATATATCTTGTTCATGGGGTCATTTTGCAGATGAAAGACGAGTCTGCTTGAGTGTCATGATTATAACACGATGAAATAAAAAAATATTGAGCGAAACTGACATATATAAAATCTTGCAATTGACATCCAAGGGGTTGACTCCATGCTATCTCTGACTGAAGGGACGTCTCTGGCACAATGGATGATGGGATCTCTCTTCGGATGTATTAAAATGCTAATTTAAAATAATGTTTAGGCCACATCCTCAATTGATATATATTAGTGTCACTCCATTCAAGCCAATGGATCACCTGGATAACCTGGATCGATCGGTCTTCAGCTGTTATTAAGACTGCGCCAATCACAACACATCCGCCATTCTCCTCGCATTCTTGCCTTTCTTCTGCATGTTCATCCGAACTATTTTTGTCTTTGTTTTCTCAAAAGAGAGCACTACATCCACTTATGAAACTACTACAACCACTCCTGACACCACTACAACTACGACGCCAGAGCCAACCACCACTTGTAAGCTCTATTTTATCTTTCCTTTACTAATATTTTATCTATTTTATATTGTACCCACCTACTGAAAATATAGAATAGAATTTTACAGTTCAATGACCATATTCACTGAAATGAAATCACTAGCACGATGACTGGATGATGGGGCTAGGCTGTTCTCAGTGGTGGCAGATGTGACAGAACAAGGAGCAATGGTCTCAAGTTGCAGTGGGAAAGGTCTAGGTTAGGTATTAGGAAAAACTATTTCCCCCACTAGGAGGGTGGTGAAGCACTGGAATGGGTTACCTAGGGAGGTGGTGAAATCTCCATCTTGAGAGTTTTTTAATGCCCGGCTTGAAAAAGCCCTGGCTGGGATGATTGAATTGGGATCGGTCCTGCTTTGAGCAGGGGGTTGGACTAGATGACCTCCTGAGGTCTCTTCCAACCGTAATCTTCTATGATTCTATGAGTGCAGAAGACAACGCATATGAATAATAACGGTGGGTAACGTGAGCTTTGGAAGAATGTATCATAGGAGAAAAAAATGATCAGTGTTTTTGATGAATGCAGTGAATGAAGAAGACAGTGGATGTAATGTATCTGGACTCAGATGTAAGAGACCTGGTCACTATATCAAAAATATTCCTTGGACACTTTAGTTAGTATCGGCTTGGACTTAAGTATTGTCACATGGATTACAATAGAAAGATGAGTGCTTAAAGAATCACCGTGATGTGCGGCAATGTATCGACTTTAGTTGTAGCGACCAGAGAGTTTTTGCAGGGACTGATGCCAGAGGAGGGTTTCAGAGGGGGCTGGGAATATCTACGGGAGTCTGAAGTCAGAGCTGCTCTGATATGCTACCGTAACCCTGGAGGCAGCAGCTCTTCATGGGAGAGAATGTAGTCACAGAACAGTCAGCCCCTCTCACACTTTGCCATAAACCTCCCTTTTTGCAGGGGTACAGGGAGCACCATGAGCAGAGTTTTGGGGCACACACAGTGTGGACCCCATATGAAGTTTTTAGTGCCAGACAATATTGTATGTTGGAAAAATTTATGCTTTTTGGACAAGTTACTGCAGTTATACTGGAAAAAAGAAAAAGCTTTCTAGGAGCCTAAGTATTTTGTACTAATATAGTTTGTGTTATGTGCTTTTTTTCAGTTGAAACTATGGGTGATGGTGAGTCTGTCTACATACAGTATTGTTTACATTTATATTGATTTTAATTTACAATGTTATGCATTTAGCTAACAACTCTCTGTGTTGTGGCTTGATAAATGACAATGCCCTGTGAATTTAATTATGATTTTAATGAAATTGAAATTGAACCCTGGAAACGTGAAGTGAGTTTCACGCTTCGGAGAGATAGTTCAGAGTGCTGGAGCCCAAAGTCTCCTATTCATTCACAGAAAAAACACAGCACAAGCCATGGCTACGCGGACCAACCTTCTTCATTTGGTGGGACATCTCGGGTGAGGCACATTGATCACTGAGTCGTTGGCCTCTCTGCTGAGACAATCATGTCAACTAGTATAGTGCTATGGCCAGCCAGGAGCTAAAGGAGGATGACTAGCTTCTCAATAAATGGCATTGCATTGCCAATATGAGACAAATTTTAATTGGTAACCAAGAAGTATTAAGACATCTCCATGTGAAAATGGAGAAATAGTCTAGCAATCTATTGATTTGTGTCTTTCACAGATCTGGTGCTAGGACTTGCAAATGGGCCAAACCGCTGTGCAGGTCGTGTTGAAATCCTTCACTTTGGAGGCTGGGTAAAAGTTTGTGGTGATTTGTGGGACATGAACGACGCACGAGTTGTGTGCAGGCAACTGGGCTGTGGCGAGCCTGTTGCTGCTCTGAGAAATAGCTATTTTGGTGAAGGCTGGACAAGTCCTTGGATGACTAATGTGAGCTGTACTGGCTCTGAAGACGTTTTGTGGTCTTGCCCTTATGAATATGCACACTATTCATGTGGTGTTTATGGAGATGCTGGTGTCATATGTTCAGGTACATATTCTTTTTCCTTCGAACTCTGAAGCTTTCATACTAAGTTAATCGGCTTTGTGATTACTGTAAAATAGACTAAGGATTATGTTTTTAAGTTCTTTGCTTTACAATTTGTTTTATCATGACAGTAAAATGTCACATTCCTCACTAACATACACTTAAATATATTAACCATACTTTAATGAAAAGTGCATTAGCTGTTGATGTAGATGATGCTGGCGAGTGATATAGACTTTAAGGTCAGAAGGGACCATCCTGATCATCTAGTCTGGCCTCTTTGACACCACAGGGCACAGAACCGCACCCACTCACTCCTGCAAAAGGCTCATAATCTCTGGCTGAGTTACTGAAGACCTCAAATCTTGATGTAAAGACTTCAAGTTACAGATATCCACCATTTACACCAGTCTTTTTAGGACATATGTAGGTCAGGAGTCTTATCAACTTGGTCTATATGTGCCCAATCCAAACTCCATTTAACTCTAGTGGGAGTTGGTTTAAGCCTAGTAGAAGCATAATTTTATTATATTTGAATATTATTCTAATAATTAACATGATTACATTTTTGCAAACATGCTGTTTCAAACTTCGGCTCTGTTCTGAAAAATGCCATCCTCAATGAAAGACCCATTAAATATTTCATGTTTCTACACTAACAGATTCTGGAATGACCCCACCTACAGAAACAGGTAACTCAAGATTAATACTTTATGACAAAAATTACTTTCCTGCAAGGTACTCCGACCCCAATCCATCAAAGTAGTGTGCTGCTACTAGTAAAAATTTGGACGACTTCTCTTCATGTCTCTTCATCCAAAAATATTTAATACATTTCAATTGGTATTCTATTGTTTAACAGTGCTATTAAAAGTGTGACAAATCACCATACATTTTTTTAATCGCGATTAATTTTTTGGAGTTAATCGCGTGAGTTAACTGCGATTAATCAATGGCCCTATATAAAAGTTCTAAATATTATTGTTGTTATGTTGATCTATAATATTTGTCTTAAAATTGTTCGGGAGGTTTTCTTAAATTGCCAATGTGCATCCAGAGGCTGGGATTTAGAGCATGTTTTGCTGTTCCTCTGCTCTTGCATATCATTGGCTATTTCTATTGCAAATTAATGTTCATCTCCTTGATAGCACAATAGCAGGATCCATTGTCATTTTCATAAATGTCTTCTCTAATTGTGCCTTTGTCTCATTGCAGCAAGCACTCTGTTTCCTCCAGTGAGAACCACACCAAGTGGTAAGTGCTGTCTCACCCTTGATTTACTAAGATTCATTTTTTTATTCAACGTCATACTGATCCAGATGTGTTACCTAATCTGGACATGTAATCCCCAGAATTGGTCCAATGTGGTTTCGTATGTGACCCCAGTTGTCACAGTGTTACCAAGAGGGAAAGAACTAACTAATGTGCTAATAATAATTTCCTTGAATCTATTTTAGGGCTGGCATTGAGACTGGTCAATTCATTGAGCAGATGTGAAGGTCGTGTTGAAGTCTATTACGCAGGATCCTGGGGGACAGTGTGTGATGATTCTTGGGATCTCAATGACGCAAATGTTGTGTGCAGGCAGCTTGGATGTGGATATGGTGTTGCAGCAAAGACCAATGCCTATTATGGTCAAGGCTCAGGAAATATTGTTCTGGATGACGTGAGTTGCAGAGGATGGGAATACAGTCTATGGGACTGTCCTCATTCAGGGTGGCTCTCTCATAACTGTGGTCATTCTGAAGATGCTGGTGTCATTTGCTCAGGTAAATACCAAAAGTTTGCGGTTGACTTGCAGGTAAATGACCATGCTTTCCACCATATCTAAGAAGTTTTTGAAAGTTACATTACAAAGTTTTCAAAATATGAAATACAGTTTTTGGAACTGGATCTAATATACTAAAAAGGCCACTTTTTTACTTCCACAAACATTAGTTCCATGCTTCAGCCAGCCATCCCGTTAGTTCCATGGTGAATGTGATTTTGCTAACATAGAATAGAGATTACAACAAGATACTGGTGTCATCTGCTCAGGTAAATACCAAGAGTTTGCAGGTGACTTGAAGGTCAGTGACTGGCACAGAATATGTTTTCATCATGTCTAAGATGTTTCTGAAAGTCACATCGCTGAGGTTTCAATATATGAAATACATTTCTGGAACTGAATCCTATACGAAAAGGGCCACTTTCCTACTTCCTCAAACTTTAGTTCCATGCTTAAACCAGCCAGCTAGTTAGTTCCCCAGTAAATGTGATTTTGTTATCATGGAATAAAGATTTACAAGAACAACAAAAAAGGGAGTGAGTGGGGTAGCACCCAAGGATGGCCAAGTAATAATGATATTAGTCTGAAGTTCCAAAGGGCATCTCCTGTCAGTCTGGGTTAGTTTTTCGTTCTGGTAACCTCACTTCCTTTGAAAGTAGAATGCTGCAGTGGGGATGGGGCATGGAAATGGGATGTGGGAAACCTAGATTTTATTCATGCTTTTTCTATGCCACTTCGCTTCTCTCTGTCTCAGTCATCCAAAAAGTAAAATAGGGATAATGAGACTTACTCAAGGTCATGAAGCACTTAGAGATCCAAAAATGAAAGACCTAGTTTCAGCCATAATCTAATTAAGGAAGGTAAATTTTTGGGGAATTTTTTTATTGACTTCAGTGGGAGTCAAGCGCATTTTACTATATTTTATGATTACCCTTCACAACATATTAAAAAAATGGTGTCTTCAAAGTTTTGCTCTACTTGTTTTGATACATAATATCCCCCAGGATAGTCATGCAGCTTCGAATGTAATTTGCAGTTAAAATGTTATAAGTACATCCAAACTAATACCAGAGTCTTTTTTCATTCGTTAGCAATTTCAAGCTCCAAGACAATAATAACTGAAACTATAACTTCTCATATTTCACCCTAGCAGCTGCTGGATATACAACATCTCCATCAACAGGTAACTCATCGCTTACATGTTATCCAGATTACATAAAATGTAATATGCTGAAATGCGCATATACAGGATCACCACTGAAATTTATTATAGGCAGAGCTCGTACCACAATTTATTGTTGAGGTTGCTTAACAGTTTCCATCATAAGATCCAAATTTTAGTTGCCTATTACTTTGGCAAATTTCAACCATTAAGGCTCAAATCTATTTGTCCCAGAGACTGATGTATTTTGGGAAGTTTCAGCTAAAACACTTCAGCTGCTTGAAAAATAAGACTAGGAAGACATGTTTTGCACAGGTTAAAACAATTCTTCCAGCTGTTTCACTGAAGAGCTCTGGTGGCTCCATGATTTGGTTTTGGGGATTTGGAATTTAGCAGAAGGGATGTGCATTTTGCCATTCCTGTGTAAATTCACTATAGGTCTCTAGTTATGCTTCTGTTATCTTCCTGCAGGAACACCAGGATACACTCCATCATGGCCCTGGTACACAACAACTCGTAAGTGCTAACTCATTCTGCTTTCATTAAAATGTTTCTCTCTAATAGGGTTCTGTGCTAGAAATGTTTTGAAATCTAGCCTATGGTTTTATAGAAGAATTGCCACATGAACTGAAATGAGAGGAAGGACAGGTTGAATAGCAATATGAAGGGCAAATATCAAACGTGGTACAGGCAATAAATGTTTCTCAGTACATTTGTTGAACTGTACAGGTCCATTACACACCCTTACTCTTGCATATTAGACCCCTGGAACACTGAGGTGTGGAGAGTAAATATAGCTTTCTTCAATCCATCCAACTCTCTCTCATTTCTGTTCCATCACTCCCTCCCTAAAAGAGAACAAGATCCTCACATTTAGATTGCCTGCTAGCCTTTCTGCCAAGCATCTAAATAGGTCATTCCCCAGGAGACAGTCCATGGGACTGTCCTCATTCAGGATGGCTCTCTCATAATTATGGTAATTCTGGGGCTTCTGGTGTCATCTGTTCAGGTAAATACCAAGAGTTTTCAGGTGTCTTGCAAAATAATTCTTCCAACTGTTTCATTGAATAGCTTCATTGCCTTGATTTGATTTGGGGATTTGTGAAGGCAATGTGCATTTTGCCATTCCTGTGAAAATTCGCCGTATGTCTCTAGTTTCACTTCTGTTATCTTCCTGCAGGAACACCGGGATACACTCCATCATGGCCCTGGTACACAACCACTGGTGAGTGCTAACTCATTCTGGCTTCACTAAGATGTTTCTCTCTGATGGGATTCATTTGAATCATTGAGATCCCAAGAATCATCACACACTGTCCCCAGGAACTACTCCTCTAGATAAGCCCGTATAGTTGATATTAAATAACAAGAAAGGAAAGATTCCTTCCAGTTGATTCTGAGGCACCACTTTGCATATATTTAGTTCATAATAATGTTTAGTCCAGATCATCACCCCATTTGAATTGGTGTCACTGATGCAAGTCAATGTATCTACACCGTTTTACACTAGCAGGGGATCTGGCTCTGCGAGGTTCCCTGACCATTTGGGACTGTGACATTGCACTCCATATGATTTTTATGAAAATATGCTGATGAGTGTGAATATGAATATAATGTAACTGGAATATGCTTCATGCAAAAGGTCTCTTGTAAGGTATCATTACAAAGCTTATAATCTACTGAGTGTGGTCATCCTATTTGTATAAATGTATCATTTTTGTATCTGAAAATAGAAATACGAAATATAACTCTGAAATCCTATTGTAATTATGCAAAGCGTGGGCCATTAATGGTGGTTTAGTATCTTGATGGCTCCCATTAACTAGGACAATTGACAGTAGATGGCTCTGTTCGCTTGCAAGCCTTCCTGTGAGTCAGGCTGGGAAGAATGAAGGCTTGGGGTCTCATAGGACGTGACCATGTCACCTGGTACTGGAATCCATCTTAAACCTGGTGCTTTTCCACTTAGAAGGAGGGTTGGGGACCCAGAGAGACAAAAGATTCCCGCCTTGTGCCAAAGGTATATAAGGGGGTGGAACAGAACAAAGGGGGTTCCAGTCGTGAGAAATCCCCTAGTTACCATCTGAGCTGGAGCTAACAAGAACTGTACTAGGGGAAAGGATTGGGCCCAGACTAGGAAGGAGTCCAGTCTGTGAAAGAAGCTTATTGAAACATTTCTGAGGGTGAGATTTCATCTGTAATCAGTTTCTTAATGTATTAGGCTTAGACGTGCGTGTTTTGTTTTATTTTGCTTGGTAACTTACTTTGTTCTGTCTGTTATTACTTGGAACCACTTAAATCCTACTTTTTATATTTAATAAAATCACTTTTGATTATTAATAACCCAGAATAAGTGATTAATACCTGGGGGAGCAAACAGCTGTGCATATCTCTCTATCACTGTTATAGAGGGCAGACAATTCATGAGTTTACCCTGTATAAGCTTTATACAGAGTAAAACGGATTCATTTCGGGTTTGGATCCCATTGGGAGCTGAGTATCTGGGTGCTAGAGAAAGGAACACTTGCTAAGCTATTTTCAGTTAAGTCTGCAGCTCTGTGGAACGTGGTTCAGACGTGGGTCTGTGTTTGCAGCAGGCTAGCGTGTCTGGATCAACAAATCAAGGTTCTGAAGTCCCAACCTGGCAGGGAAAACGGGCTCAGAGGTAGTCTCAGCACGTCAGGTGACAGTCCCAAGGGGGTTTCTGTGATTGAACCTGTCACAGGGACATTCATCAAATTGCCCACTTTTAAGTAGATGAACAATTTACAAGGCATCTTTAAACAATAATAATTGTTCAAAGAGAAAGAAACAAATGAGAAATTCCTTCTCTATATACCCATGTCATCTTGTGTTAAAAGCAAGAAGGAAATTAAGTTTTTTCTTCAATAATAATAAAAGAAAGCAGCTTTGCAAGAGAGCAGTTTAAAATATCAAAATTGCTAATAAGAAACTGTCAGTCACCTTCTGCCACCTGCCTCTCTGCTGTGACCTCGGCACATCAGTCTCTTAGTGATTTCAGCTCTGATTGAGTATTTAAAATAACAAAAGAGGCTCCTAATGAGCTTATTTAGCTCTTTCTTTGAACAGTGGGGGGAACAGGTTAAACCAGTCTGGGGACTCCTAGGAAGAGTCCACATACCTCCTGCTGGAACACTTGTCCCCACCCCTCTTACTTTCACAGGGCTCTGGCATTCAATCCCTTGGCTTAATGAGGTCCTTTCAGCTGAAGGTGACCTCCTCATTTGGGACAGGTTAAGCACAGTCCTGCTTCCCTGTATTGCTATAATAATTACAACATTGGGAACTGCATTTCACGATCCCTGCATTCATTGCTAAAGAGATTTGTAACCCAACACTAGCCAAAGTTGATTACTTTGAGCAAAACACTGCTCTATCTGCTGGAGAGCAGGAGCAAACTGTATTTACATAAACACACCCAAAGTATTTCCCCCTCCCAGCTAGCTGTCAGGGAAGAACTCATTCAGACCCTGATTACATTAGTAATTTGACAGACTTCAACCATTAAGGCTCAAATCCATTTGTGCCAGAAACTGATGTATTTTGGGAAGTTTTAGCTAAAACATTTCAACTGTTTCAAAAATAAGACTAGAAAGACCTGTTGTTCTGCCCAGGTTAAAAAATTCCTTCCAACGGTTTCACTGAAAAGCTCCGGTGCCTCTATGATTTCATGGGGGATTTGGAATTTGGCAGAGGTCAGGTACATTTTGCCATTCCTGTGAAAATTCCCCATAGGTCTCTAGTTATGCTTCTGTTATCTTCCTGCAGGAACATCAGGATCCACTCCATCATGGCCCTGGTACCCAACAACTGGCAAGTGCTAACTCATTCTGGTTTCATCAAAATGTTTCTCTCTGATAGGGTTCTGTGCTAGAAATGTTTTGAAAATGTAGCCTATGGTTTTATAGTAGAATTGCCACATGGACTGAAAGGAGAGAAAGGACAGGTTGAATAGCAATACGAAGGGCAAATATCAAATGTGGTACAGGCAATAAATGTTTCTCAGTATATTTGTTGAACTGTATAGGTCCATTACGCACCCAAACACTTGCTTATTGTACCCACAGAACACTGAGATGTGGAGAGTAAATATAGTTTTCTTCAATCTATCCAACTCTCCCTTCTGTTCCATCACTCCCTCCCTAGAAGAGAACAAAATCTTCACATTTAGATTTTCCTACTAGCCTCTCTGGCCAGAACCTAAATAGGTCATTCCCCAGGAGCATTAAGGCACTTTTCTGACTGTTAATATATAGTCCTTCCACTGATTTTGAAAGGAAATATCTAGCATGATAACAACAGCAGAAGAACAGGGATAATAGCTGTGAGCAACATGAACCTATGAAGGAACACATCATGGGAGAAAAAAAGATTGCTTTTTTTAATGAACACAATAAATGAAAGACGGCAGTAGAGATAATATATCTGTACTCCAGTAAGACGTCTGGTGCCCTGTTCTAGAAATATTTCTTACAAGTATTAGTCTGATTTGACTTGAGGAAGCTCAGGATTTGTGGGTTCTCTAATTGTCCCCTTGTCTTACTGCAGCAAGCACGCCAGTGAGAACCACGCCAAGTGGTAAGTGCAGTCTCGCCTTTGTTTTATTTATTTATTTATTTATTTTATTGTGGGATTCGACATCACACTGATCCAGATGTGTGACCTGATCTGGACATGTAATCCACAAAAGTGGTCAAATGCGGTGCTATATGTGGGTCAGATTGACCCCAGTTGTCACAATTTTACCAAGAGGGAAAGAACTAACTAATGTGCTAATAATAATTTCTTTGCATCTGTTTTAGGGCTGGCATTGAGACTGGTGAATTCATTTAGCAGATGTGAAGGTCGTGTTGAAGTCTATTACGCAGGATCCTGGGGGACAGTGTGTGATGATTCTTGGGATCTCAATGATGCAAATGTTGTGTGCCGGCAGCTTGGATGTGGATATGGTGTTGCAGCAAAGGGCGGTGCCTATTACGGTCAAGGTTCAGGAAATATTGTTCTGGATGATGTGAGTTGCAGAGGATGGGAATACAGTCTATGGGACTGTCCTCATTCAGGATGGCTCTCTCATAACTGTGGTCATTCTGAAGATGCCGGTGTCATCTGCTCAGGTAAATACCAAGAGTTTGCAGGTGTGTTGAAGGTCAATGACTGGCACAGAATATGCTTTTCACCATGTCAAAGATGTTTTTGAAAGTCACATTGCAGAAGTTTCAATATATGAAATACACTTTCTGGAACTGAACCTTATACTAAAAGGGCTACCGTCCTACTTCCGCAAACATTAGTTCCATGCTTCAACCGGCCAGCAAGTTAGTTCCCTGGTGAATGTGATTTTGCTAGCATAGAATAAAGATATACAACAACAACAAAAAAGGGAGGGAGTGGGGTAGCACCCAAGGATAGCCAAGTAATGAGGGTATTAGTCTGAAGTTCCAAAGGGCAGCATCTGTCCACCAGGGTTAGTTTTCCGTTCTGGCAATCTCACGTCCTTTGAAAGTAGAATGCTGCAGCGGTCATAAGGCCTGGAAATGGGATATGGGAAACCTAGACTTAATTCATGAATCTGCCATGCCACTTAGCTTCTTTATGCCTCATTCACCTAAAAAGTAAAATAGGGATAATAAGACTTACTTGAGGTCATGAAGCACTTAGAGACCCAAAGATGAAAGACCTATTTAAGTTTCAGCCATAATCTTTTCTCATCAAGAAAGGTAAATTTTGGGGGAATTTTTTTATTGACTTCAGTGGGATTCAAGCACAGTTTACCATATTTTATGATTACCCTTCACAACATATTACAAGCATGGTATCTTCAAAGTTTTGCTCTTCTTGTTTTGAAACATAACATCCTCCAGGATTGTCATGCAGCTTCTAATGTCATTTGCAGTTAAAATGTTATAAGTACATCCAAACTAGTACCAGAGTCTTTTTTCCTTCATTAGCAATTTCAAGCTCCAAGACAATAATAACTGAAACTATAACTTCTCATATTTCACCCTAGCAGCTGCTGGATATACAACATCTCCAT